GGGAGTGAAAGTGAGAGAAAAGACTGAGTATAGGGAGGATTGAAGAAACAACGAAAGATGAACGGAATTCAAAGAAGATGGCGACTGACGTTGCATTTAAATTTTTGAAGATTGTAGTTATCAGGGAAGCAAATAAACGGAAGGGAGTTCCACAGGCGGGAAGTACGAGAAAAAATGTTGGAGTAGAAGTGGCGGTTGCATTTAGCTATTACAACAGTAAACAGGTGTGCCCTAGATGCCAATCTCGTAGCTCGCTTAAATTCATGTAGTCGGAACACCAGGGAAAAAAGCTCGTTAGAGCAGTTGTCATGGAAATATTTATAGAAAAGACAGAGAAAAGCCAAATCACATCGGTGCGAAAATGACTGAAGTGGAGATGCTCGATTACATTGCAGATCCTTCTGTGGAATTTATCAGGAACGTCGATATGAATAGCAGGGGCACCGGACCAGATATGGCAGCAGTATTCAATGCACGGTCGAATGGTAGATTTGTAAACGTGCAAGATGGATTGCAGCGAGAAAGATTTTCTGGCACGGCTCAGTGATCCAACTTTCCTTGCAGTAGATGCAGCTATTGATTCGATGTAGTCACTCCACTTCAAGTCTGTTGAAAACGTGAGTCCAAGAAAGCGCAGTGAGTTAGTCTCAAGGAGTCTAGCGTTAGGCATGCAGAAAAGGTTCCCTATGGTAGTTAAATGAAAGCATTTTTGTTTTGGGGGCGTTAAAATTTACAACTGTAAAGATGAAGGGTCGGTGCAAGGATCTCGCCCTGCCCCACCGAATCTATGATACACCACCACGTATCTATTATATGGGACCCCAACTCTACTATATCTCAATTTTCATAAGGTTGTAGTCATGGAATCCTCCACATTTGCCTGTCACCCCCCCCCCCACGGGAAGATTCACTCTTCCCCAAATAAACCTTTAACCAATCATCACTTTACTTTTCCAAACTCAATCCTCCATTGGTCAAAAGGACACTAAAATGTATCAGTTGAGACAAACCTTTTTCCCGTGCAGGTCCCTGGAGCCTATTTGGAAACTCGAAAATCTATAAAAAGAATCGCTTGAATTAATACAAGTTAGTCAGACACTGAGTTTCGAGAGATACCAGCAGACCCCACGCGTGCCAACACACTGACTCAATGACCACTACCAACCTCTCAACAATTCAACACAATTCGCACAACTATTGCCACGCGAAGAAGCTTAACTTACAATTTACTAAAAAGTGACATTATCACTACAAAACGGTAATTGGACATTCGATCAACTTGAGCGTATCAGTTAAAGGCGAACAACTCTTCATAACTTGAATCAACACCAGCAGGTGTCACACACATACACACTATCACTTGAACTTACACAATTGACAATTTTCCTTGCAGATATCAAACTATTTTAATTCCACAAACAAACTTAAACTATCAACCTTTACTCACTAAATTTCTGCATGGACAATCTTTGTACCATATCTCACTTGCCACATTTAACAAGCAACATATTATCACTTTTTGTATGTCAAATATATAATTATATAAATTCACGTTTTTGTTGAAATCTCTAACAACGTTTTCAGTAATTTCTTGAAGTTGTATTGTCTATTTATTTTTTGTTTGATTTATTTATTGTGGATAAATGCATTACGATCACGCACATTCTTTGCCCTCACAAAAAATTACCTTATGATACATCTTACTCAGCATAGATTCCGCAACATAGTCATATAAGATAGACATTTTATTGTAACCTAATTATATACAATGATAGATAATATGCAACATAGATGAGCAATTCAACTGGAAAAATTAAAAAAAATGTATCTAAATGCAACTTGCGACATTTGATAAAAGATCATTCCATCTTAAATAAATCAACCTCAACTTGAGATTTTGCTTGTTAAAAAGTTGAATAATTGTAACGTATTCAACATCGAGGCAAAAAATTGTGAATTTTACATAGTGTTTTTCCGAAACTTAGCATAAGAAAAACAAATTCACGGATATGAACGAAAAAGAAAAACACACCCCAGAATGACGTCAAAATGCGCGAAAGCTTTACATCCTTTTCATAGTCAGTTGTACTTAGTTTAATTCTCAAAGCGTATATAAATGTAGGTAGAAAAAAAGCAAATGTTGATAAGATAGCAAGAGTCACAAAGCACAGTCCGGGAGACCCCCAATGAGGCTTTCCTCTCTCGTCATTTAATAACCAACCACACCACGAATCGGTCACATTGTCGGATATGTTGAACACATCTAGGTAGTGAAGATTTCAGACTCGATGTGAACAATCACCTCCCCCGACGTAACCCCCCTGAGCCCGTGGATTCACGGCATTGAGAAAAGGCGTTTGGCAGGAAGCGACAGTTTGATCTTAGGTAGAAGTACCGATTCTTATAGTTATTTTCCAAGCGTAGCGTTGATGTGACACAAAGCCGAAAGTATGCGGCACCCAGAGAGGATCGAACTCACTACTCAGTTGTAATTGTTCTAGCCAGACAAGCTTGCTAACCATTACACCACCTGGAGGTGCCATAGTACCGATTCTTACAGAGGGAGAAATGCCTCCCAGAAATATCTCTCACATAATGGTAAGACATTAGTGGTAATGGTGTTTTCATTTAGCTAATGTCTTACTATTGTGTGTGGGGTATTTTTAAGAGGTGTATTTGGGGGTATTTCTAAGAGTTATATGTGGGGGTAATTCTAAGAGGTATATATGGTGGTATTTCTAAGAGGTATATGTGGGGGATATTTCTAAGAGTCTTGTGGGATATTTCTAAGAGGTATATGTCGGGGTATTTCTAAGAGGTATATATGAGGGTAATTCTAAGAGGTATACGTGGGAGGTATTTCTAAGTGGGTGGGTATTTCTGTCGCAGCCTCTATTAAGTTTCTATTGGGCATAAAATGGGGGATCGGTTTTCTATCGTTATTAAGTAATGAACTGATCCTCCTTTGAATTACTACATATTAATATAGTAATTTTGAAAAAAATATATTGCAGGACGTTTAATAATAGTAAGGCTTTACCAAAATATGTCGTCATTTTCGATGGTCTGGGAAAAATCGTATTAATAAAGGGTGCGGCAGAACTACCTCCCACATATACCTCCCAGAAATACCTCCCACATAATGGTCAGACATTAGTGGCAATGGTGTCATCATCTTAGCTAATGTCTTACCCTTATATGGGAGGTATTTATGGGAGGTAGTTATGCCGCACTTTGTATAAATAATTCTAAATATATATTTAATTAAATTTAATTTATCACCAGAAAGCGTTATTAGCTGGAAAAAATAAGACAATTTTTCTCGGTCAATGAGAAAATTATACACCTACGCAAAAGAGATCTCGTGGTATATGAGGCAAATACAGGATTGGTTTTTATTCTGTGTTGGCGACGCCATTTTTTCTTTCTGTTGTATTTTGCACTTGTAGCTCAGCGGTGTCTGAACGACATGAACGAAGAGAGTTTGTGGCAAGCATTGATCCGTTTTCTGAACAGTGTTATCTTTTCTCTTTCTTTCTTTCTTTGCCCATCTGTCACACAAACAGCGCTCAGACTACGTTAGCGTTCTTCAGCCTGAACACCATGTTGAAATTAATTTAACTTAAAGCACACAAACACTACAGTATTATTCGCTATTTACTCGCCTCTTCAGGTCATTGTTTTTAATGTGGGTTGCCATGTACATACGGACCAATGGCAAAAATTGCCAAGTCATTACGACCACTAACCAACCCCGCCTTCATAGTGTAATGAGGGAGGTGCTGTCGCAGTGTTGGAATCTCCGAGATCAGTCCTTTCTCATAATTTAAAAAAGGGAGAGAGAACTGTCTATCCGTTATTATTCCGTTTAACTCCTGAGGTTTTGTGGTGAGCGACTAAATCGATTCGGAAGATAAGTAAAACCCCAGCAGCACAAAAATCAGGAGCTGTTAAAGGGCGGATTAACACTCTTTCAGGGGTCATAAACTCCCAACTATGGGTTAAATAGTGTCATGAGTACGGCTACACCCCAGAAGACATGGTCAATTAGGGAGCATTTCCTCCAACAGAAGGGAGTAGGCTCTGGATACTACCTTTTGATCTCTGCCCAAATGTCGGAAGAGCCGATCCTATGCAAAAGGCGGGAGAGTGGCACTTTGGTCGTTGGCAGAGCACACATATACCACACTGATCTTAGTGCCAATCTGTACGCAAACAATCTTTAAATTTTTTTTACGGGTACTGTTATAGATTACTGTATTCCATAGTATATCAAAACCAAGAGACTTCTAATATGCATTACGATTTCAGTTGTGTTTATTTAAGGTTGTTTAAGTCGAAGTTTAGTGTTTATTTCCGGAAGGGCTTCATGTCCTCATAAGAGACGCTGCGCGAGATTTTATTCGTTTTTCCGGAGTTCCAAATCCAGAGACTACTCACTTCTGCCGGAGAAATTCCTCCCTAACTGACCACGTCTACAGGAGTTTAGACATGTTCACTACGCTTAGCCAATTGCGGGTTGGTGAGGCTATTCAACTCATAGTTTGGGTGAATGGCCTTTGTCACTGAGGAGTTCATCCGCCGTTTAACAGCTCTTAATTTTTGTGCTGCTGGGTTTCCACTTACCCACTTCACCAGTCTGGTGGGGGAGCCGGTTTAGTAGCCGATCACTCGACTTCATGAGTTAAACGGAATAATAACGGATAGGTAATCTCAGCAACAGTTTTTTTTTTTTAAATAGGGGTTGATTTTCAAAGGAATTGATTGATTTATTTTCTTTCACAACTCATCAACTCATTGAAGATTATTTAAAGCAGAGAAAATATCTTATTAGATTTTAAGTATGGTGGGGGGATAATAATGATTTTCTGATACAAGACCAACTAATTAACCCATAGACGGGGGTGAGAAGAGGTAGATTCATACATTTTCCTAGGTTACTTACACATAAGCAAATAAAACAAATGGAATTGAAACAAAAATTCCGAGCCGTTATCAAGCTTACATCACCTGCTATAGCCAAGCGGTCACCCATCTAGGTACTGGCCAGGCTCAAAGTTGCTTAACTTCTGTAATCGTTCGGGAACCTGTGTTTCACCATAATGTGGCTGTAAGCTCAGCTTTCTCATTCCTAGCCATTATCCATTACACCACCCGCACATCCAAGCTTACATCACCTGGTATTCCCAAGTGGTTACCCATCTAGGTACTGACCAGGTTCAAAGTTGCTTAACTTCGGTTTGTTGCATTTCAAGGTGAACACGGTGTTACACGTGCGTACACGTAGGCTTGTGACGTCAGGACATCAGCAAAGAACAGTTTTGGGCTATAGGCGGTATTACACCCATTTACCGATTAATAAGAGAGAGAGAGAGAGAGAGAGAGAGAGAGAGAGAGAGAGAGAGAGAGAGAGAGAATTAATCTGACAAATGTTACCAAGCAAAACTAAAGTTTATGATTGATCCAATAATCGAACACATACAGGTTTATTATGTGAATGACTTTGCCAACTGATGTCGAAAGACTTAGAATATTGAAGTAGATAAATGTTTTTTTTTTTTACCTTTTTATTTATCTCACGTCTGACTTAAACATAGTTAAACTTCATCGGCACACTTGACTTATGATGCCCCCCCCTACCAAAAAAGAATAAACAAAAGTGTATACATTTTATGATTTATTCATTAACACAAACAAAACAATTTATTGTAATTTGAAATAAAAATATAATAAATACAATTTTTAAAAAACTTTTCTGCTTATTATAATTTAACATTTAATGTGATATTTGAACTTGACGCTTTTTTTGAGAATATCTTCGATGTAAGGTCGAATTTTGGACAGGCATACTCTTAAATCTTTTTCCAAGGATTCTAGCCAGGATCGATTTTTGTTGTTCAATATTTATTGCAGAAAAGTTTGCTTCGCTTGTCGTTGAAAAGGATAAGAAGTATTTCAATCGTTTTTTTTTTCTATTTTTGTAAAATTTAGAAATTCACCCCTGAAGGAAGAACCAAAATGGCGTGATATCTGTTGTGGAATCTTTTAATTGCAATCCTCTGTTATTTCTTCTTTTTTTTTTCATCAATAATATACTCGTACAATCAATTTAAAGGGTTTTTCATTTTGATATGTACCCTTAATGTGTATTGGACGTATGTCGAGGGCAACAGACAATTCCATCCCAGGAAGAAATGAAGATAATAATAGTAATAATAAAAGAGCGAAAGAAGCAAATGTGGACCAACAGAAAACGCATCGATGGCTGAGGAGCATCAGGTTGAAAGCTGAGACAAAAGGCCTAATTATTGTAGCTTAGGACCAAAGCCTCGCAACCAGATTCTATCACTGTGACATAATCAAGGATGGAACTAACCCGAAATGTAGCATATGCGGAAACGGTAGACCAAATTATCACAGGATGTCCGGAACTGGCAAAAAATAAATATACTCACAGACATAACAAAGTAGCGACATATGTGCATTGGGAGATACGCAAGTAGCACAAAATCGAAACCACGATGTAACTATCCTCTGTGTTATGCCAATTCAAACTGACAGGGAAATAAAAGCCAACAGACCTGATATTATCATAAAAGACATTCAGGAAGTGTTTGTTTATTGACATAGCAGTACCATCTGACATTCTTCAAGGACACATGGCACAGGGGATAAAGGCGTTGGCTAGATCCAGTGACAGGACCCAAAGAGTGTGAGTTCAACACCCGGTGAAGGAAGAGGAGAAATTAACAGGAGATAACTAATAACTGACATCCATTAGACATGGCACGTGGAACTAGAACAGTCTACTCCAGTGAGCGAAATAAATGGTTAAGTTCGACATTCCAACCACTTGAAGAAGGCCAGAGCGTACAACGGCCGAAACGTTGTAATAAATATGGCGACAAAGATGAGGACAATAGTCCGAATAATGTAAATAATTTACGATGCACAAATGAAAAACAATCAAAGCTAACCGCCCAGACATCAAAGACTACAAAAACTGAATGTGCTTTCTTATTAGCATGACAGACTATAATATATCTTTAAAGATCTGGAAAAAAACTATCAAAATACAAGGATCTTGAAGTGTAAATCTCAAAAATATAGCACACGAGGACATCAATAATTCTATTTGTAGATGGGATCCTAGGTTTGATTGAAAAAAGTTTCTGATAGACCCATTGAAAGGAATCAAGGTAGCCCTTGCCTTAAAGAAATAGAAAAAGATTCTTCCAACAAGTACAGCTCACAACTTATGAAAAGCTATATCTATGGAAACTGTGTCTCCTCTTAAGTTATTTTATTTACAAAAATGTCCAGTGACGTCATTTCTGACCTTAGGTTACTGGTTGGGAACAGAAATCAAAGAGATAATAATAATAATAATAATAATAATAATGCGAGGGTGATAACGCTAATAATTTGGAGGAATACGAGAGAAAATAGTAATAATAATAATAATATTAATATGATGGTGACGATGATGAATAGTTGGAGGAAAAAGAGAGAAAATAGTATAATAATAATAATAATAATAATAATGATAATAATTATTATTATTATTATTATTAGAGAATTGAAGATTTGAAGATACTTGATGTCACTTGAACTCCAGTGATAGCCACCAGAAAGCTATAATTGGATGATGTTGGCGATGATGATTATGGTAATGCAATGATAATGTTGATGATGATTGCGACAGGCAAAATGCAAGAATAAAATTGTTTAAAATAACTACTTGAGTCAGATGATTGATGGCGACACTTCATCGTCTGATTATTCCAAAATATGGGATTATTGAAATGTTGCATCGAAACGCACTCCCATTCCTTATCACATGACGAGCATAACATAACCTTTGTCCCGCCTACAAGTTAAGGCTTTTGAGTACTTGATTATTAGGGTGACAGAGACTCTGCATACTTTCTATTAGTTCAACAATGGTGAGTTAGTAGGGGCATCATTGGTGCGATTACTCTAAGTCTTACTTTGGGCTGTCTGCCCTCTTTGCACGGACCAAAGAGACCTAGTATTTAGAACCCCGACAGAATAATTATTCCGGTTTTAATTCTATGTGTTTTAGGGACTGATTTGAATTATCTGTTTGAACGTCGAGGGAAATGATCCTTAAATTGGTAATTTGTTGCTATTTAAGGAAAACAGAAAAAGGAAAAAACAACTTTTTAAATGCTCAAATAAAAGAAGAATTGATAAAAATAAAAAATAAAAACGTAAAACCTCTTCTGAAATAAAAAAAAAATAATATAAAAAATTCTTTGCAAATAGATGAGCAGATTCATATGGAATCAAACTACTCGTCTATACGAAACAGATACTATAGATTTTATATATATATACTAGACTACCCGTGATCCGTCGGGTCAATGGCAGTCCAGGTTATAAAATATTGAAAAGTTAATTTTATTATGATTCAGTTAAATATTTCAATTCGTGTCATCATTGTTCTGGTTTACAAGTTCATGTAAGTTTTACTGATTGTTTACAGCATTTAATATGAACAGGACTTGAATTTTAAATCAGATTAACTTAAAAATATTTTCTAATATGTCAAAAAATATTTTAAACCATATTCACTTGAAAATATTTTTTTAAATATGCCTAAAATGCTCACAAAAATATAAAACGCAACATAAATATAACGCAATATTGCTACCAAATTAAAAATCATGGGAAAAATAAGTTTGTGACTCACTCTATTTGCTATTAAGAACGCTGTTCATAACGACTGACACAGAATCGTGGCAAACGAGCAAGCTTCAGCTAATCTGCAATCGGCAAGCTCAGAACGTCACCACCAATGACCTCGGTCAACCAACCCCATCTACACATAAAAGGTTCTACCAACTCTACCCTTCATCCAAATTACTTCTCTGTCCACAAAGAAACCTACCGCTTACATCGTAAGATCAGGTTGCGTAACATAAATGTAAAAAGTCACATTGTATTATGTACATATTAAAATGGAATTATTGGTTACATGTATTTTCAATTCTGGCATAGAGAATTTAAAACGAAGTAAGTCACTGAAGCGATAATATTTATTCCCACTGCTTTGTCTATTCAATATTTTTAGTGTTAATTTTTCGGTTGAAAATTTCCGAGGTTCATTGATTCTTTTCACTACTGAATTAGCCTCTTTTTCATTTTTCACTACTTAATTAGCCTCTTTTTCATTTTTCACTACTGAATTAGCCTCTTTTTCATTTTTGATGCTTTTTTACTTGGTTCTTTTGTATATCATTTTTGTTTCTTTAATTTTATTTCGTCGTTCATTTTTCCTTTCTTTTATTACATTTTTCCATTTTTGGTTTCTTTCTTTTTCTTATTGTTTGTTTCTTTATTTCTTTCATCGTGTGTTTCTTTTTTCTCGTTTCTTTTTCCTTTTCTTTTATTACATCTTTCTTTTATCCTTTCTTTCTAACTTTCTTTCTAACTTTTTCCTTCTTTCTTTCTTTCTTTCTTTCTTTTATTGCTTCTTTTTATTTGATAGCATTTCCTTTTATCACTTCTCACTTTTTCTTTTTTTTTTCTTTTATCCTTTCTGTCTCCATTTTGCATTCGTTATATTTCTTCTTTCTTTCTCTTTTTCTTTTCTTTCTTTTCTCTTTCTTTCTTTTATGGCTTCTTTTTATTTGATAGCTTCTCCTTTTATCATTTTCTTTTTTCTTTCTATTTTTGTCATTTTCTTTTCTTTTATCCTTTCTGTCTCTCTTTTGCATTCTTTATTCTTTATTTTTTCTTTTTTCTTTACTCTTTCTTTGTTTATTGATTTTTTCTGTTTCATAGCTTCTTCTTTTTATCACATCTTTCTTTCTTTCTATTTTGGCTTTTCCTTTCTTTTACCGTCTCTTTCTCTCCTTTTGCGTTTATTTGATTTATTTGTTTCTTTTTTCTTCCTTTTATTGGTTCTTTCTATTTAACAGCTTCTCTTTTTATCACTTTCTTTGTTTCTTTCTCTCTTTCTTTCTTTCGTTCTTGCTTTGTTTCTTTCTTTCATCATACCTTTCTATTTTTGGCGACTTTCTTTCTTTTATTGTTTCTTCTTCTCTTTCTGTGTTCTTTCTTTCTTTTTTCTTTCTTTCTTTCC